AACCAAAACAACACGCACATACCTTTACATTCCTACAGAACATCAAAAACCAAATTCAGAAATTCAGGAAACTACTATAAAAATTATTTGTGTATTTTTTGGCCATGAAGCTACATATTTAAATCCATGCAAATGTGTAAGAGTAAGTTTATTTTTTCTCGTTCTGGTGAAGTGGAGTTTTGTCCAAATATAGCCTTTACAGTTCTACATATATGTCAACACCAGTGTTACCTGTTTCATGTAGTATATGGCAAAACTCAGTAATTCCACCATGTAATGTTAGTACAGTAAGAAACATTGCCAAGAAAATCAGTGCAAAGATACAAAAAGGTAACAAAAGAAGTATTTATTGGTTACTATAATACAAAATGTCCCACTGAGCTGACAGTTGCACATATTTCACTGGGAATATTGGCATGGCTGAGCCTTCCTCTTCCTCCTCGTCCACGATGGCCTCCGCTGCCTGCTAGTCTTCCTCTTCGTCACTTGAGGCCTCTTTTATACTCTGACACATGACTGAATTGTTCTTCTAGTTGAGTTTGAGGAGGTGCATGACGAGTGAGAGTAACTGATTGTGATTGTGTTGCGTTTTGAAGGCCAGTGTTTTGTAGGTGAAAAAAGCGCGTTGAATAATGGATTTGTGTGTCAGAAATGTGCAAAACTTGGATTTATAATGATATTTGAGTGAGACCAGTAAAATTGCATTTAGCATTTTGGAGTCATGTTTTGATATGTGAGCTTCATGTTTTTAGATTCGGTTGTATAGTTCTTTTTTTGTGTGTATTAAATGTGGGAAAACTAATTAATGTAGTTTGCATAGTAGGTTTGTGTGTTTCAGTTTAGTTTTTAGTTTGCATTGTTTAAAATTTTTAAGTTTTAGGTTAGCTTTTATTATTTTGATTTTATTATTCAGAGAACATATTGCAGCACAAACAGCAGTTTTTCAAGTCAGTTAACTCAGTCAAGTTGACATCCTAAGTCTGAGTGAAAAATCAGGCCAAGATCTCATCAAGCAAGTTGTAATTACACATTTTCTCAGTTAATTTTTTTTTTTCAAATTCAAGTTTATTTTTCGGTCTGGTTTTAGTCAGCTGTAAATACCTTAGCGATTATGTGTTTTGCCATTACGAGTGCTGCTCATCGTTTGGTCCTGTAAAGTTTAAGAGCTCTGTAGGGATTGTGTCCTTCACCTTTCAAACTTTACTGTTGTACACAAGTTCCTTCTTCAGGAAACAACAGTTGGGACAGTAATAAAAATGACAGCACAGCTGCACTGTAAATAAATATAGCAGTCTAACCCAGCTATTACTATTATTGTATTCTGGCTTTTTTTGCTCTAGAGTGCATTACTGTGGAACAACACTATAGTCTTGAACTGTTGGTAGCTCATATTTGGGTGAGTGCTAGGTTGAACTGCATCGTAAGGTGACTACTTTGACTTTTATGAAGTGTGCTGGAGAGGTTTCATGAAAATCAACATAGTAGCAGTTCATAGTACAATGGTTCAGACATTTGCTTGCCATGCAAAATGTCACTGGTTCAATTTTAGCTGGAGATTAAAAGCCCATTTGTGCTTGTACCAAGGGAGCAGCTGAAAGTAGCTATAGGTGGAGTGGTAAAGGTCAGAACCCATTACATTTTGAGATTGCTCAGTATCCTTTCTTTATACCTGTAGAGGCCTTATTGGAAGAATCATTCACTTTTTTATATATTTTGTGTCAGCTTATGTGAAGAAGTCCCTCCAGACCTGTTACAGACCAAAATGTCTGCACTTAAAAGCTTTTTTGAGTCTTGCTTTATTGCATTAACTTAAGAGCAGAGTCCAGTAAAATACATTCAAAACATACAAAACAAAAATTCTTATACCTAATGCCCACATTTTCTCACATGTCACATTCGCAAGTGCTGTTCATGCAAACACATAAACAAAATCATCTTGAATATGTGATTCAGAAAATAACAAACATCAGGTCCATTTAACCAAGTTTTCAACATGAATTTGATAAAACATCAAATAGTCTAATGCACTTTATTAACTACAGGCTTACACACACTTTTTATTTATCTTTTAAGCTTCACGTGTACAATCATTACATCTTTTCTTGCATAGTTATTATATGACCTGCACAGAGAAAGCATATGTCTTGCCTTACATTATAAATAATTATAAATGTTTTCTCCACTCCAGCTCCACCTGATCATAAAAATCATTATAGATTTAGTCCAGTTTGGAAATCCGTTCATCTCCCAATTAGTATCAGCCAGTGGTGCTTTCACTCCTCTTAGGTTCGGGTTTCCTGATAAGCTCTGATTATGCTCTCATAAGCTGGAGGTGGGGTCTGCGTAGCATGAAGACCTCTCACACTGTTCCCCCAAAATGACTCTGGTCTTTGTGGGGTGGCAGCTGGCTGGGCTATGCTTTGAGCTGATCCAGTTGATGTAGTCAGAGGTGGTGTACGTGGCAGTGTGGTTTGGCTCCCCTCCTCTGCCTCTCTTGCAATTTGGCTGCACTGGAGGAGCGGGTGGAAGGTGGAGCCCCTGAAGCTGGATTTATGCGCCATTGCGTCAAAGTGATCTGGAGAGGAAGTCTGGCGGTGAAAGGTGAAAGCAGCTGTCACTAAGCTGTTGTTGCTTCGCCGGTCATAGCTGCTGCTGCGGTTAAAGCCTGGACGATGGCGGGAAGAAGTGTGCGAGCGGCGATGCGGGCGGCGGGTGATGCTGGCAGAGCCTGCTTTGTGTCGGGAAAACCAAGTAAGCATCACATAAACTAGGGCGCCCAAGAGAAGGCCCACTGCCACAGAAGCACAGAAAGCTATAATCAGGTGGTCTGTGAAGAGAGAAGCATACCATTTTAAAAAAAAAAGGATCTTTACAAAATGATCTGTGTTGTAGTATCTTTTTTATATCACAAATATTCCCATTACAAGTCTGTGAAAAAGTGTTTGCTCCCTTTCCTGCTTTCTTCTTTGTTTATATGCTTTAGATCATTAAATGAAATCGTAATATTAGACAAAGATAACCTGAGTAAGTATAAAATGCAGTTTTAAATTATGGTTTAATTTATTAAACCATAATTTTATTATTAATCAGTTAATTCATGATTCCCTGTGTGAAATCATGAATGAACTGTGATTTTTTTCAGAAGTTCACTTCAGTTTCACAAGCCACTCTTAGGTTTGATTACTGCAAGACCCGTTGAATCAAAAAATTACTTAAATAGAACCTGCCTGACAAAGTGAAGCAGGCTAAAAGATTTCAGAAGACAGCACATCGTGCCAAGATCTAAAGAAACAGCTGAGAATCAAAGTCATTGATATCTATCAGTCTGGAAAGGGTTATAAAGCCATTTCTAAAACTTTAAGGCTGGGAATCTAAACTTGGAACAGTGGTGAACCTTCCTATGAGTGTCCGGCCTACTGAAATTAGTCCAAGCGCACATCCATAACTTATGGAAGGAGGTCAGAAAATAACCAGGACAACATCTAAAGAGCTGCAGGGTCCACATGTCTCTGTTACACTTAGAATTTATGACTTGGCAAAAATGGCATCCAAGAGAGAGTTCCAAGGAGAAAACCACTGCTGACCAAAAAGAACACAAAGGCTTGTCTTGCACTGCCAAAAAACATCTTGGTGATCCCCAAGATTTCTTGAAGGCTTGAGTACCTTTACATCTGGCATAAAACTAACACAGCATTTCATAAAACGATCACCAAACCAACAGTAAAATAAAATTCTAAAGGAGAATTTCTGGCCATCAGTTCATGCCCTAAAGCTCAAGTACACTTGGGCTATGCAGCAGAACAGTGATCTAAAACACATCAGGAGGCCCACCTCTGAATAGACAAAAACAAAAATGTAGGCTTTGGAGTGGCCTGGTCAAAGTCTTGACTTAAATCCCATTGAGTCTTTTTTGACATGACCTTAAAAAGGCCATTGATGCTGGAAAATCCTCCACTGTGGCTGAATTAAAACAATTCTGCAAAGAAGAGTTTGCCAAAATTCCACCACAGTGATGTGAAAGACTGATTACCAGGTATCACAAATACTTGCTTGCAGTTCTGTGTGGCAAGTGTGGAACAACCAGTTAGTATTTCTACAAATGCATATAAAATTGACAAAAAGATACATTTAGATACATTTTTTGATGCTCTCAATACAACATCAGAAATTAATTTGGATCTAAATATCCTTCTGGATCCACACAGTCAATTAATGCACAGGTTGGAGGGTTTTTCAGCCTTGGTGAAGTTATACATCCTCACTGCTCTTATGCACATGCAGTGCATCTAAATAACGTTTATGGTCTTTTTTTTTTAAAAATAATCCACTGTGAATGCAAGGAATTTAATGTGTGCTAGGAAGAAACTGAGAATTGCCAGACGTGTCTGGAAATATGGTGGCCCTTGACAAAATAATAATAGGCTTTTCTCTGCCTGTGTTTAACAGATTGAGCCTCTTGGAGAAAACAAACCAACTGAGTTTCATTTCCACACACGCACACACAGACAAAAAATGAAAAGCTGTTGACATATTCTTGCTCAGTGCTACTTTGCCTTGGATAAAGCCAACTGAGCATGCTTGAGAGAAGGAAGAGAATGTAGCAGATGAGACAAATACCACTGGACTTATGCCAGGAAAACAAATTGGGTTCCCCTCAATAAAAAGTTCAAAAAGTTTGAACCTGCTTTGTTACTAGACCACATTTCCACAAGTTTTTTTTTTTCTCTTAATTTTGGAAAATGGAGGGCAGACGCTAGTAAAAAGTCATCTGGAAATGCCATTAGGGAAAACTGAAAAAAAGAAAACATCAGCAGCAAGTATGTCTGTGTAGGTTCTCAGTCATCCAGGTTATGGTAATCTAAGGAGCTTAGAAAGAAAAGTGACTGGATTGACATTAACATTGATTCAGTAGGTAACATAATAGGGTGAGGTTTCACCTTAAAACTCAGATAATGACCTACACCTTTGTTCATTTGATGAGGCACCTGATCAATAGTGGGTCAAGTACCCTCTTAAGGGAAAACTCCCACTAGGGCTTAAATACCTGGGACTCTCCACCATTTGGTTTTAGAATTGAAGAAGATTCTCGGATGAAAGGTGAAACGTCCTCAAGAAACTTAAAGAAGTCCAGTCGCTTTTCTTTCCACGCTCCTTAGATGAGCACCAAACAGATCGAGCATTCTTAGAAGTCTGAAAAGGTTTCTTTGAATATTCAAATTTGGATGATAAAGCTTGGTTCAAAAAGGCACTAGGCCCGCATATTACATCTATTCCAGGAGGCGATTCAAGCTTGAATTCCTGAGGGCACCAATCAGAGCAACCACATGAAACACACCAGCTAAAAGAGAAAGAAAACTCCGAAAACTCACCAACGTCGGCAGGCTGAAGCATTTCCAGAAGGAAATTTGTGTTGTTCGCAGCCATGACTTTATCTGCTTTGTCAAAGGAGAGGAAGAGAGACTGAAGCTCAGTTCAGTCTGTCTGTTCCTCTCGTCTTCTCCCTTCTCTCCTGTCAATTCTTTCCTGTCCTTTTTTTTTTTTTTGATGGATTTTCCTGTCTTTCTGTCCCGTCTCTTTTCCTGTTCCCCCTACTTTCTCCCTCTTCTCCTTTGCTCACTTTCCCTGTCAGTAACGTCCGACTCCCTCAAAAGGAGACTCAGCCCAGACGCTCGCAGGGCTGGCAGCTAACTCTGACAGTCAGCTTGTTTATGGAAGCGGAAAACTACACTGTCACATTTCCTGCTTTTCTGCTGGAAATTAGCAACAGGAGGGGCTTATCTACCCAGGACAGAGATCCTGGAGGTATAGAGACGGGGTGTTTCTGTAATCACTTCCCCTCTCATCATTTCCTTCAGGTTGATTAAAGTAGAAGAAGGATTACCAGCGCAGGAGTTAGTCCTTCAGCTGTTACCATATGAGAGATGAGAGTCTATTACAATCACAAATATTTTTCTTCCTTTCAGAAATGATAAATATTTGAATCTTTTCTTTTTTTTTCTTCCGTCACAGAGACCCCAGGCGACAAGCCATCACCTTGCACCAGAAGTTAATTTCTGGGGCTGTAAGGGGCATTGAAAGGCAAATCTCCAACTGAAAACGGTGATTGTAATTTTGCAAGTGTCTTTAACTGCAGCATTTGTATTGGTAAACTCAGTGTTTCTTCGGTGCCTCTCTCTCTATCAAAACCAAAGTTGCCTGAATTTGAGAGATTTATTAAAAAAAATGTAATTTGATAAGAAAGAAGAGCTGCTCAGCTGCTCTTTTGATACACCAACATTTTTATTTCAAGTTCTTTTTTACCACCTTCTCTCAACAAATCAGGATATAATGCACTGAAATGAATCTCTGTGTTTTTGATCCCACGCTAAACTAAGGAAAAAAGAATTGCAGCCAAATCTGCTGCAAATTTATCAATTCAGTCAGGAAGAACAATGCCAGCAGTCACACTCTGAGGTAAACCGGCCCCTTTGCTCCAACAGCAGCTTTTTATTTTACTTCTCCGAGTTGACCCCTGATCTCAGCGTTCTCTAAACATTCACTGAGTTAATGGTTTTTTTGGGGTTTTTTTTAAATACACAATTATGAGCATTTTAGTCAAAAATCTCTGAGAGTTTATTGTGTTAAGAGAGCTTTAACCTTCTTACTGGCAAAGAGAGAGTAAGGGAGAGAGACTATCCCAACCAAAGCTTGAACTTCCTTTAATTGTTGGCTCGGCTGTATGACCTGTTGAAAATAGTATGTCAGGCCATTGTTTTCTGATATAGAGAAGCTGAAGGGCAATAAACCAACATGTTGATATGTGGCGGAGACATTCTTTAAGCTTTTATAGCTTTTGTTCATGGCATTTATCAAGTGTAGCAGGGCGGAGTGGTGGGAAATAACTGTGCAGTCCTTAATGTCTTAGTAAAGAAATACACATCCAGAAGTACTTCAAAGATTTAGGTAGCAAGGAAAAATGCAGATTTTACAGATTTTTTAAAGTTAATATTTTATGAACCTTCAAAGCTGTGGCTTATATCAATGTGCTTTTCTGGAGCATGTATAAAATTAGTCAAATAAAAATAAACGGGTGAGAAGAAGAGAAGCAACTGGGTGATACTGTTTTGTTTTAAAGACATTGGATTGGTTAGAAATTAATGCACCAGGGAGCTACTCTCTGTGTTTCTTCTGTCCCCGCTTTGATCAGTAGATGGAGCAATACTCCAGGGTAACTTCATAACACATCTCTTTATGTGATCTGAAAGTCAGAGAGCATGTCTGCTCCCACCCTGTAAACATTAAACATCTGTAAACATTAAACGTCAGTCAAAATGGGGGGGAAAGAGTTAGAAAAACATCTCTGTTAGCTAATTAGCAGACACAAATGATAAAAGGGCTGAGGTTATTTATCTTTAACATTTGCACTGTACTTTTGAATGTGTGATACAGTCTGTTTGCAGACCTCCACATAATGATTATTCAACAGTATTGCACTCAAAAAAAGCCATGCTTTCTGCATCTTAATTAATAATGGGTGGCAGCCCTTTAAGGTAAGTACATTTTTACACAATTTTCATGAATTAATTTCATAAATAATTGTGTCCTTTTTGCTACAGAAAAACATGTAAAAGGCTTCTGAGTTGAATACATAACATACATCAGTATAACTTGAAAGATTCACTCATGTTTCAAACATGTTTTGCGGTAAACAACTTTTCAGATACAATAATTCAGGACCCATAATAGATTTGCAGAACAGCGTTTCTCTCTTAGCATGTTGATTTTTGCCATGCAGGTTGACAGCAAACTTTCTAATGAGATTTCAGAAAACTGCTGACTATGCATGAAAGAGATTACCATGCTAGCAGTCTTGCTCCCAGCTCTCTGGCTGTGGAATGATTAGATAAGAAAACGGATCTTAAAAGGGTTACTCTTGGATGGTTTCCTATTGACCTGAGTGTTTTGTCTCTGCTCTCCTCTGCTGCAGCATTGTCGACTTTCTCTTTCGCTGAATCTGTTTTGGTCCACAGGGGCGCTGAACGGTAGAGGTCACCTCGAGCTGAGCTGTGTAAAAATGTAGGAATCAGCAGTCCATTCCTGCTGCAGAGCAGCCGGCCAATCCAGCGAAATCCCACAACATTTCAGTGCACTGACAAGTCAAACGGCTGATTCTGACACATGTACATTTATTGGGAAGGAATTCCTGTATAGCTGATACTGAATTCACCAAGGTAAATCTTTTGCCCCATATTTTCTATGGCAGTAGCAATGGCAGGCCTGTAATTTGAATGGATTATTGTTTTGTTTTGTTTTTGCCTTGTCTTACACTGTGGTTTAGAACATTTTTTTGGTAGGTTTACCAGTAAAACACCAATTCATCTTGTTTGGGGGAGTTATTTTGAGGATTTCATGTTCTTCCACATCTCTCCACAGCTTTTTGGCTGAAAGACAAATATTTCCTCCCAGTAAATATTATTTTTACACAGTCACTGCAGAAAACAAACAAAACAACAGCACGCAACAAAAGCTTCAAAAAGGCTGCCAAGATGTTGCAGAAATCTAGACGTCCAGACCTGCAGATATACTGTGGAAGGCAAATCCTCATGCTTAAAATCAGCCCTTTTCACCTGCTGCCAATCATTTAGTGAAATCAAAGAAGCTTCAGTCGATCATTTATTAGTTTTTCTGTTTTCAAGGCGTCCTCATCTGTGTCTGCCTTTGTGGAATGACGCTCTGGATGGAGCTCTGTAGCTCCCTCTTTTAGTTTTCTAAGAGCTCTCCTGAGATGATGATGAAAGGACTTGTCTAATGGGATTACACATTGCGATAAGTGCTCAGAGCCCAGTGGTTCATCGCACCTCCCTCTTGCATTTCAAAGAATGGCATTGATCTGTTGTTGGGTAGTATATCTTAGACATTGTGTTTTAAGGGAGATGCTTTATTGCTTGATTCACAGAGGTTTGTTCTTAATGCTCTTTGTCATTCCAGCCCCAAAATATATGTGTGATTCCTTTAAAACTACATTTAAAATGAAATGCCCTTTGGTTAGGATCCAGCTCGCTTATTTTCAAGGATTTGATCTGCAAAAGACACCAATCCCCCCCACCGCCACCCGTACCCCATCCAACCTTTAACCTGAGCACACTGTAAAGGTGATGTCATGGGATAATTCACAAAGCTGCCCAATAAGCAATGAATTATGTAGCAACTGAAGCTTCTAGTTTATATTGAAATCAAGCAGCATTATGTCATACTTTTGCACACGTGTGCACATGTTCTCTGTATGCTTATGTATATTTAGATTTTATCATGCTAGAGCTAGTCTACCTCTATTAATACCAGTGAAATAATATTTTTTTCTGTTAGGAAAACTGATTAATAACAGGGTTCCAGTCTATTCCTTTAAGTAAGGAGAAAAATATAGACAATATATGATCATCTAGTCATTGTATTATTTTATTTATTACAATGAATTCATATTAAAAAACTGTATTTTAAGGTGCAACCCAACCCAAATGTGATTTATACAACAGGTTGGAGCTTGAAATTCTTTCCTTAACCATCAAACACGGCCAACAAATTATTATACTTTCTGGATTTTTAAGTGGTAGAGCCATTTAGCTCATTTTCAAAACAACATGCTTTCAAATATGTAAGTGATTTTGTTTTCTATGCATCATTAACGCTAATTGTTTTAATCCATTTTGCCTCCATTTTATCTTCAGTAATTTAAGGGCAGTTAATCTTGGTAAATAGCATCCATTTTCCACCACTAATAAAGCAAATACATCAGTCCTTCTGTCTGGCTGAAGGCGTAGTTATCACTCTGGAGTGAGTGCACAAGTTTGGCTTTAACCATTTCAACAAATTAATGCTCAAACCAATATTACCCTCAAATTGAGTCTAATAATTTTTCAGTAGCCTTAACATGTATTGGTGCTGACAGGTTTGATTCTTTAATGTCGGCCCTTTTTAAAGCGGGATTTATCTTCCATCGCACATTTGATGTGACTCATTCTGTTTTTTCTTGTTTCTTTCTTTTGCCACTCTGCTGACACGCACATTTGCCCAACTGAAGACAACTTCCCGTGTGCAAGAACCAGAAGGGAGGAGAAGAAGCCCTATCCTGAGGTCTGAGATGGAAGCGTATTCCTTTTGGTTGGACAGCAGGTGGCAGTACATGCAGACCACAAAGCTATACAGTCTGCAGGAGTAAAAGGCTCAGGGAAGGGAGGGGGGCCTCTAAGATGTTCAGTGCACAGACACACATGCATGCATGCTCGCATACACATCCAGTTTGCACTTACATCATCATTACCAGGGGAGGAGCTCTGCAGAATGTGAGGATTGCAGACAGCTACTGTAACAGGGATGACTTCAAAAGAAACAGCAACATTGGCATGATTCAGTCTTGACACCCTGCGGTCAGTGTGAAGACTCTAAACTGCTGCAGTCCTGGTCAGAGCATGAGGATCTTGCCAGGGTGATTCACAGGAGCTGGGACGTGACTTTAGTGACCTCAGTACAGCAGCATGGCATCACCCAGGCACTACGGACACTCTGCTCGGGATATTACCAACGTGATGCAGAAGCTGCAAGGTAGGAGCCAAATGCTTACTCACAATGCTCTAACTTGGTTTTGCAGAGTGTTTAGAGGTGACCTAGAGCTTGGTATGACACAGCAGAGCAGAATGAGGTAGAATGTGGAAAAATCTGTCTTTCATCTCATCCTCATGACATGAATGTCCTGATGTGCAATGCTGGAATTCAAGTTCATATGGCTGATAAATGTTTGGTATGAGAAGGGCATAAATCAGTGGAATGTGCAATGTCACTGCATGCAGTACAAGAAGTACAGTAGAAATTTGGGGTTATAATCAGTTCTGTTTTAGCTCACCTTCAGGCCCTATCAGTGCTTTGGTTTATTTTAAATTGCTCTGAATCTTTTTTAAAATCGAGATGGAGAAACCTGCAGTGGTTAGAGCTTATTATTTAAAATATATTTTTTCTTTTTCATTGGGAAAAAAAAACTTGATCAAATGGTAATGAGTAAATGTGTGAGAGACAGCATTATTGCCCCATTCTTGTTTGTGTTTTGTGTTTGTTTTAATTGCCTGCTTGCTCGCTGTGTGTTTGGTCTATCTGTGTTAGTGATTGCACACATGGAGTGCAGTGTGTGTGTGTGTGTTTGTGTGTATATATATGTTTCTGTATGTTGATTGACAGGGAAGCAGACAATAGCAAAGCTAATCCTCAGAGAAGCTGACAGGATGAAGTCTATTCCTCAGCCTAACTCGGCTGTAGTAGCAGGACTCCTCATAATGGACAGTTATATCCTCAGCTTGCTGGCACAGTTACATCCAACCTGGCTAATTTAAAATAATCAGCTTAAAGTATTTTTTTAAATCTTCTCTAACCTCTAACTTTTATTTCTTCTTTAAAATTTTATTCTCTATTCTTTAAAATTTTATTTTATTGTATTTTTTGCAGCAGATAACTAGCATTTATTCCCATTTGCTAATAATGAAACAGCATGGCTTTAACAGTTTCACAAGCTTCCAGTGGGAAACGGTGTATCTCAGTGTGCCGGGATCATGTATCCTTTGCTGACAGGATCAGATTGATGACGCTTGCAAAGTAGCAGGAAAGTCAGGTGACACTAGAGCTGAGATCCAATATGGCTGCTCACTGTACGGCTTCTGAGGTGGCAGTTTCTGTGAAAGCTGAGAACAGCATCAGCAGCCACGTGGTTCCCCTGCATCACTGTGTGCAGGTGTGGATGCACACTTTGAATCTCAATTGTACGCTGATGGATCTAATTTTAGAAGCCTCCCCTCAAGCCGTCTCTCCAGTGCAAAGACGGATTGGTGCAGACACGCTTTGAGTGCGCATTTAACCATTTGCAACAATGAAAGGGTGTCATATGATCCCATTATTTATTCATTCTTCTCAGAATTAAAACAAATTAATCCACAGGGAGACACCCCCATTTCAAAGAGGTGGATAATGTTTCATCGGCATCTAAATGGTGGTGTTTCTAGATATCTGGCAAGCTTCTACTACTTATAGGTATAGGATTCCTAATGAATGCTGTAAGGATGTAAATAACATGACAGTGGTTTGTTCCAGCCACAGACTTCTGACTGGATCCTACTTTTTTTGGCAGCGTGTCAGCTCCAATTAGTGAAACTTTTATCTCATTTTAGCAAACGGCCCTTTTACCAACTGTTGCTTTAATGGTTTCACAAATTGTAAGCATTTCAGATAAAGTTGTTTTTGTTGCTGTGGGTGTCTTTACAAATGGAAAGACTGAGGGTTTGTGGGAACAATGCTGCTCTAATGTAGTCGCAGTAGCCGTTACCACAAAAATACAACGTGTAGATCATCTTTGATTCTGCTGAATTTAGTATGTGCCTATTATATTCGAGTCTGATATATTGCCTGTGGTTGGAATATGCATCGTTCTTACTAAATGTTTTGAAAAAGCAAAATCTGTACTTGATCTACATTTACCGGCCACTTTATTAGCTACACCTGTTCAGCCGCTTAACATAAATGTCTAATTCATCAAACATGGCGGCAGCTAAAAGGATTTAGATCATGCAGACATGATCAAAATGACTTGCTAATGTTTAAACTGAGGACCAGAATGGGAAAGAACGGTGATTTGAGTATCTTTGAACGCAGCATGTTTGTCGGTGTCAAAAACGGCTGATCTGAGTTCTTCGGAAAATGCTGACCTACTGAGAATTTCCCCACAAAACCATCTCAGGGGCTTACAGAGACTGGTCCAAAAAAAATAGAAACTATCCAATGACTAGCAGGAGAAAATATCTTGCTGATGGCAGAGGTCAGAGGAGAAGACTGAAGCCAGACTGCTTTGAGCTGATAGGAAGGTAACAGTAACTGAATACAAACAAGATATGCAGAAGAGGATTTCTGAACACCACGTTGAAGCACATGGGCTACAGCCACAGAAGAACCCAATAGGAGCTGCTCCTATCAGCTAAGAACAGGAAGTTAAGGCAACAATTCAAACAGGCTCACTAGAATTAGACAACATATGATTGGAAAACATTACCTAGTGTGATGAACTCTGATTTCTGCTGTGATCTTCAGAGGGTAGGGTCAGAATTTGGAGAAACAACACGATAGCATGGCTCCATCCTGCCTTTTACCACTGATTCAAACTACTCTTAATATTATAATAGTGTTGGGG